GATATTCACGTTCCTTTCCCTGCAGTGGAGTGGGCCAGCATTCTTAGCATGGCGGTGCAATATCCTGATGTTGAGCACCAGCGCCTGAAGGAGAAGCGACGCAAGTATGCGGATGGCGACGGCAAGAAGGACCTCGAGAGGGCTGGTAGCAAGCGCAAGCGCTCCGAGGATGAAGGCGACGCTGCCTCCTGGGCCCGCCGAGAACTGACTGGCAGCGAGTTGATTTGCAAGGTGGCCATGTACCAGGAGCTCTGGTCTTGCGCGCCCGATTCTACGCAGTGGACTCGCCAGGCAATCATCTTTTGGAGATTCAACACGACCAATCAGTGGCACAAGTACAACCCTGTCTTTAAGCCTGCTGGGACTACCTGGCGATGGTTAACTATCAATGACCCAATGTCTCGATATCATCAGCAAAAGGCACTGGTTTATCCAACTGCAAACGTCTCTAGAGATGCTCTCATGTCACCAACTCCAACCATCAACCAACACTTGACAGCAGCAATGAATGAGACTTTCAACTCCTGGGACCAAGGCAGCAGCGCGCCTCATGTGCCACATGTTCCGCCTCTGCAAACTCCCAACAACAGCATCGGGCTTTTTGATTCGTTCTCTAACGGCCTAGCCACGCCACCGCCAACCGCAACTCTGCCTCCAGCATATCCCGCTGGGAGTTTTGATAGCCGAAGCGGGAGTTTTGATGCTCGTAGTGCCAGCTTTGATACCAGAAGTGGCTCGTTTGACGGCAACCTGGCGCCGAACAATGGAGTAGCATTCCTCCCATCGACCGGTCCGCCACCGCAACACGATCGCCAGCCAACAACCCTTGGCAACAACAACCAGCCCTTCTTCGACGGACAGCAGTCGTTCTCCGAGGTGAAACCAATCAACACAGCGGTCAACACTTACATGACTGCTAGCACCTCGCTCCAACTACCCAACCAGCTCGTCTACGACAACTCTGGCGTGGACACCAACAACATGCAGGGATGGGACATGTCTGCCCTAGACAGCTGGTCCGCAGCAGCTTCGGCGCCAGCCAGCGCCACCGCGGAATGGGGACCAAATAGTATTCCCAAGGTCGAAACCCATGCGGGAGATCATCACGGTGCCATGTGGGCTCCGCCACATTGGCCCTTATTCGCAGGAACAGCGCCCAGCTCCCATGAGCGAGGTGGGAGTCCTAGACCCCTCAAGAGACGGAGAGAGACGATGGATGTTCATGTGCCCGTCACTGCTGGATGGTGACGATGATTGATGCGAAACTAATGTAGGCGCCCTATCTGGCATAGAGACGCATGTGTTACAAGACTTGGGGAAATTTGTATGGAAATGTGTATTAATTCTGGTGTTGGGTGGAACAATTCAGTCCTGGGCGCTGGAGGAGTATTCTTACGGACATGTTCTTGTTTCTCTACTATTTTTCTGATTGGATGATGATAATACCACATACTTAGACCTATGAGCTTTTACAATTTTGAAACAAGTCTGGTTGTTTTTTTCATGATACTTGCCCCTATGCTGCTTGATGTGAGTGGTTGTTTCTCAGTCATCAAGACCACCATAAAACCCCTGGGCCTGTGACGTATTACGAAACTCGGGAGTTGTCAGCGAGCTAACCAGGCGAGGAGTACAAGACAAAGTTCAATATTTGGAGCCCCTGCCTCATCTCCACGCCCTTTTAGACAAGGGGACCACCCTCGAGGCGAGACTATTTTGGTAAATTTGTATTCTTCAACAGGTGGAGCGGATGCAGGAACCAGGAACCCGCACGGAGAAGCCCCTGGTCTATCTGGCGTGTGGTCTGTCAAGGGAGGGCAGAGCGGGCAGAGCGGGCAGAGCTGAAGTGCGGAGAAGGACGACATGTCGTGCAGCAGAGCGTGACGCGAACGCGCCGCCACATGCAGGCACTTTAAGTGCGGCGACCTAGACGCGCGGTTCTGTCCGTGTAAAAACGACTGGTGTGCCTTGGTAGCTTTGCAGACTTGGGGAAAAAATAAAAGACGCCGCAGAGGAACAATGGTGCCTAGCAAAGAATAGACCCGCGTGGGGGTTTGTGGCAGAAAGGGAAGGGGAATGCGGCAGGAAAGCAACAATGACGACTGGAATTCAGGGTTCGGGCAGAAATACGCCCCGTTGGAATTTTTGCATTCTTTGTGCTTTTCTCGTGCTGGGAGACGGGCATTGTGTTGACGTGGGCGACGCTGAGGAATGCTGGGCTGCGTCCGTCGTGGGCGCGCGCGAGGGCGCTGGAAAAGGGGGTTGCGAGTGCAGCTGACTATTGGACTTGAGGGCGGGGGAAGGGCTGTGAGTTGGATTTGCGCGCATTTCGGGGTGCATGTTTCCTTGAGATGGAGTGTATTGGTAAATGGAATTGTTTATTGTTTATTTGATTTTTTTTTTGTCGGCGGTGGCAATGTTTGGTGGTTACGGGCCGGGTTGAACGGGTACATGGCATGTTTTTGCTTTTTTTGCTATATTCGAGGCATGTAAGTGGCCCTGCCGATACAACCTTGCCGCTGCAAGTGGACGGGGTGTTTGGTGAGAGAGGGCCATGTGTGGTTGTCGTTTGGTGGTTCCGATATGAAGAGGACAGCGGGTTCATCCTTCGTGTTTAGTTATTACAGTCGTTGTTGGGCTCCTCGTTGTGTTGGTTTCCAGTGTGGGACTGGGATTTGTCGCTTCGGAGCAGGTATGCGTGGAAATTGGGCGGGTTGGATATATGGATTATTCTCACCGCAAATTAAGGCCAAGGGCTTGAACGTATTCTGTTCGAATCGGCTGTGTTGACTGTGGCTAGTAGTCAGGTGAGATGGGTATACTCGAGGACGAGCCCTAATTTATCATGGCTCCTCTGGCGAATTCCAGTCATCTGCAGCTTCACGTATAACAGCTGCGGGCTTTGTTGCCGTCGCGTCTGGACTAGGCTGTCATTGTCCTCGCATATTGTTCAGTTAGCGCGTATCCAAGGAGCCTCGTCTTTGTGAAAGAAGGTGTGACTACTAGAGGGAGAAAAGGACCGATATTCCAAAAGGCCTTGCTTGATTGTTACGCCGTAAGTCGCCATGTTGCGTAGCACATCTATCCACACTGCACAAGATATAGTCCTCAGGAACACGGATGCCGCCGTTTCAGATTACTCTCCTGCAACAGGTCGCATGAAAAAGGAAAAAGGGAAAACACAAAGTGAAGGCGGTCAAAGGTACGGCCGGCGCTTGCTCTTGCACAAGGATTTGCACAAAGAATTGCGTGTGAGAGCGAGCGAGCAGGTTTGTGTCGTGCATGTCGTGACAAGGACGGATGTTTTGTGAAAGGGAAACAATGGCGAAAGAGAAGGCCGCAGGCATACGACACCTTGGACAGCACAGCCCGGGATATTTGACGTTTGGTGAATGCCAGGAGCAGGGGACGATGACAGGCATGACTCCATTAGGGCCAGATTCACGATCAAGCGCGAGGCCTTGACGATGGACGAATGACAGCCAGTCGTGGGCCGGGAGAGGCGCGGGTTCGCAACGGTGAATGACCCACGGGGGCAGCGTTAGGCGCGTGGTGGAGCCCGGGAAGTCCAGATGGCGTTGGGCGGCGTATTGGATTGGCCGCCCGGCTGTTTGGGCAGGAGCGAGGCAGCTGGTGGTGCAGGCATCGCCTTGAAACAGCAGCCTCGGGTGCGTGCGTCTTGGGCTGCAACATTGGATGGCATCGTGACCCCGTGAACCTGTGCAGAACTCTAGCCTTGCTCTCCATCTGCCCCTTTGACCGCAACCTGGCCGCGGCCTGGACGGTCTGCCGCGTGCGATATTTGCTGTCCTCCGAGGCAACGATAGGCCATCATGCTGCCTCGACTGTTTAGAACCGCAATCCGCGAGACAGACTCGGGCGCAACGACGATGGCTCACGAGTTCCGCTCCAGACAGGCCCGGCGGCGACCGGCCTGTTCGCCTCTAACGACCGAACCAACATGCAGAAAACAGCCTTTCTTCCCATGAGACTTTGTGTCTATTTTCTCTTGTTCTGTGCCAAGATTCTGTCCGACTGCCGACTCTCCGGTCGGGCCATGGCTCCCCCCGTCATTGTCTGTCGTGAACCAACACAGCTTGACTTGGTATACAATAGTCGCCATGGCTCGGTAAAAAGCCCAAGGTGTATGCATGAACGGTGAATGACCAACTCGCCAAGCTCTTCTTCTTTCTCCTCTTCTTGTGTTCTGGTGGCTGAGGATTTTCTTGCGGCTTTGCACTTTGACTCTTTGTTTGGCTTTTGGCTTCCCATTCCGTGTTCCCGCCCAGCATTTGCAATTACTCATTCTCCTCGACCATTGATTCAACAAACAAACCTGCGTCATTCGTCAGTCCAAGTAGACCATACAACGACCAAGTCTCCGGTCTATTCACATCGCTGCTTGGGCCTTGCAACCACGAGGCACACCAGCTGGCTGGTGGATCTGCCAACTGTCAACGGCCGGCTGTTCACTTCAATGTTTTGACAAAAACACCCAGCTCTGAGTCTTGTTCTTTTTCATTTTCTTGTTTGTTTAGCCACTTGCTTTTTCTCTCCAACTCTTCTTCATCTTGTGTTCAGAGAGCGCACAATCAACAAGGCCGTGCATGACCGTGAGCGCTCAACTACTTCTTGCCGGCGACGGGACCTCTTGATCACTTTTGACCACCTCTCCTCATTTTGATCGATTTATACTACGTCTTTTCGATTCTTGCTGCCAGGAAAATTAAAGTTTTTTTTTTTTTGGTCGACTATTCTACTCCAGTTTCTTGATTTATTTCGATTCTCGATTTTCTCCCGGTGAGAAATACACTTTTGCGAACATTTCAACAGTTTGGCCCCAAACAGAAAGACAGACGAGCAGACACTCATTTGCATCTACAGTTGCATCTACTTGGAAAAGCAAAAAACCCATCTTGGCTCACGCCAGACTTATAGAAAGACGCTAAATTCAGGATATACCCCCTTACGTCCCGCTACGTCCCGCCGCGTCAACCACGATGAGAAACCTCAAATCTCGTTACGGCAACCCGTACCGTCTCGGTTCCCTGCTGGGCCTCGCCTGCTTGACATCTGCTCATTCATGGATCGAGTACGCCTACGTAATTGCTCCCAATGGCACAATGGTCGGGCACATTGGCTACCCACGAGGATTCAAGCCTCGCAGTGACCCCGGCTGGAACGACAAAATCCCCCAGTGGCTACTGCCTCAAACCGGATCGGCAGCTTACTCCGGTAAAGAAGTCTTGAACAAGTTCCCCTTCGAAGAGAATCCCAAGCAGCCCGTGCTTGAAGCCGCCCCCGGAGACCATATCGCCCTCATGCACTTCGAAAACGGGCATGTTTCCTTGCCCCAAAATCAGCCCAACAAGCCTAAGAACCGCGGCACCGTCTACCTTTACGGCACCAGCGAGCCCAAGGAAAAAGAGAACCTGTTTGACGTCCATCTCGTGTGGAACAAGGACGGCACCGGTGGTGATAAGAGAGGAGTCCTCCTTGCAACTAGAAACTACGACGATGGTCGGTGCTTCCAGCCTAACACTGCGGACATCACGAACCAACGCGTCGCCAAGTTGAAAGACAATGGGGCCCAGAACTCACAGGAGTTGGCGTGCCACTCTGATTTGAAGCTTCCCGACAACTTGAAGCCTGGTAGCTTTTACACCATCTACTGGTACTGGGACTGGCCGAGCCTGAACCCAGACAAGATTGACATGGACAAGACTGCCGATGGACTCTATCCATGGGCGGGGTCGTTTATGCGCGGCGACAAGGTTCCCAATGGGTGGACCATGGATGCCATTGCCCATAATGAGAGCTACAGCAGTGTGATTGATATCAAGATTGTCGAGAAACCAAAGGAGTTTGCGGGCAAGGATGCTGGAAAGGAGGCGTGGGTGTCTAAGCAGAACGTTTACTCCATGGGTGTCCAGGACCAGATGGCCAACAACTTCCAGGTCAATGTTGGTGGTCCCGGGAATAGCGGCACGGGCTCTGCGCCTACTGCTTCGGCGCCCGCTTCTGCGCCTCCTGCTTCGGCGCCCGCTTCTGGTCCTGCCCCGACGGCTGGTTCAGATGCTGCGAGTTCCAACGCTGGCGCTGTTGCTACCGTCACGCAATATATCACTGTGCCTCCTACCACGCTCATCACTACCGTCTTCAAGACTGTCGGTGACGACAATAAAAAGGTCCGCCGATCTGAACCGGCCCCGGAGCAATCGATACTTAGGCTTACCAATGCCTATCCGACCGGCACTCCAGGGCAGCATTCTGCCGCTAAGCAAGTGTCCTCGGCACCGCCGTATGACCGGCGTCGGGCCAGATGGTTCTAAGCCTAAAGGGGTCACTACAAATCTTGGCTTGGGTAAGGATACAAGGTAACAGGTAGATTACATGACTGGGTGGTACATTGCAAGTTCGCTTGTATATACTTGTACCTTTTTCTCTTCTCTTGGTTTCTTTTCTTTTTTTTCACGTATCGTTTTGACAACACGAGGTTGGAGGAAGATGCAGGGGACATGTCGGGGCTGGGCCCAGTCAGCGATAGATAGGGATGCGATCTGAAATAAAGTTCGTTGAGAAATGCCTGTCCTGCTCGTCGTCGTGACGTTGTTCATTCGACGTAGACCATGGTAAACCGAATACCGAATGACCATTTCCCAGCGAGGGAGCTCAAACGCAGTCTTTGTTTCACTGGTACCTTTTGTCTAAAAAAAAAAAAAAAAAACACCTTTTGCCTGGCA